TTCGTGCATAGCGGGAACGAATCTTCCCGCAGAAGCGGAACTGCAGTATGCATAGTAAGCCACAGAATACCCGCATGTCTCGGAATGGGCAGGGCAGGAAATAGCGACCAAAAGTGATTAAGTCTCCGAAGAAAGTCAGAATACTGCACAGATCGCAATCGGCCATATACTGACCATTGCTTACTAATGGCCGTCACGTCAGACTGTTATGTAGGACAACAACTCAGGATGACCACTGTCAACGAGTCAACAGGCATGAGGTGGGCGCAGCGCGACAGGGAGCGTTGCGCCCCGCCGGCGCCATTACGATCCTGTCGGTGAGCTACAGAGAAGCTAGGCGACGTAGGCGACATGACGGACGAAAGCACGAGGCGCAGGATGGCAGGGCGTGGCGACGAGCAGTGATGGGGAGCAGCAACTAGCGGCGAGGCGTGGGGGAAGAGGGTGCGGTTGAAGGTGACAGGGTGTGATGGAGGATGACGGAGCAGGGGGTAGGGGTGGGTGGTGGCGCCTCGTGGGGCTCGCGACTTGTCAGTACGGTGTGGGAGTAATTTGGTGAAGTGGCGGGCGAAAGTGTGAGGTGCGTGATGGCAGGGAGCAACAGCAGGCGGGTTGAGGTCTGTCAATGTTGCTTTTCGAGATTTTTCTGCTCGTTTTGTTGAAGTGGCAGGTTTGCTCTAGGTGAAGATTCTAACGGCAGGCTACGAGAGATGGTGGATCGAGTAGGTTTCTGCCGCCATGCATATTCTTTCTCTCTCCGGACTGCAGCGAGGGGTCGTCGACGGGCTCGACGGTTTGAGCTCGCGACGTGGCTGTGTTGTGGTAAGTGTTGGCCACAGTCCGAGAATCTTCATCGTTCAACTTTTTGGTTAGATGTGATGCAGGTCACGAGCAGTTGAGATGCTTTTGAAGTCGATGAAGGAGGAGGTGGAAGTTGGGAGAGAGAGAGAACATGACATGTGCGGATGGGGGGAATTGGGGTTGGTAAGGAATTATGTAGATTGTTCGCTGTTTTTCCTAAGTGACAAGACTAATGGTTGAGGTGATCATTTCCTTTTGATTACAAGCCTATAAAATCCCTACTGATTTTTCTGTCGAAAACATGATCTGGATTTTTTTGATGATGATGCATTCTGATGCTGGCGTGATCGGGGAATTTTTTCAGAGGTTGTTTCTGAATAATTTCGTTGTTATGATTGTGCTTTGTTTAAAATATGACTCATAAGATCCTAGGATTTTCTAGATGTAATTGATCCCTAATCTGAAATTCGTTTTTTCTGATTCTAAGCAAGATCCCTAATATGAAATTCGTATTTTCTGAGTAGGATTCTTAATCTTAAATTCGTATTCTCTGAGCAAGATTCCTAATCTGAAATTCGTAATCAGAGTTTTTTGCTCTGATCCCAGTGAATGATTACTCAATTTTGAATTACAAAGGGTTACAAATTGATTTTTCTCAAAAGTGGAATTGATGTCCTACTTTTATCCATTTTTGATCTAATTCTAAATCTAACGTAGCTCTCCATATTTGTGAGCATAAGTTCGGGCTCCTTTTTTTGAATTCGATATTTGATGTCACTTGTTTGAAGGATTTTCAAAAAACTGGTTACAATCGAGTCTTACGCTGTGATATTGCAGGATTTGGGCTCATATGTGCTGATTGAATTATCTCCTTCAGGGTTGGAGCCCCTCCCTGCGACGGTTGTACAAGGTGGGAGGTGTGATCCTTGAGAGGGTAGGGGCGGTATTGTGGGTTTTGTTCTCCTTTGGGCCAGACTGATCTGGGACGGATCAGCTAGGGCGGTTGGGATGGAGGACAAGGGGCCGTGCTATTTTCAGCAAGATGAGAGGTCGAGAGGTGTTTTACTTGGAGGGGGTGGGACACGAGGGAAGGGGATCTTCAGTTCTACGGGGGCATGCTCTAAGGGGTATTGCATGCTGCTGAGGGAGCAAGAGTGAATTAGGGGGTTGTTCTGAACTGGGGATGAGAGGTGAAGGGACGCCTTCCAACGGAGGCAGCGAAAGGACAGGACCTTGTCTTTTTTGGGGGGGAGGAGTAAGCCGCTCGGTTTCTTGTGAGCTCTTTTACATCCAACTGAGATGTGAATAGGCGCATGAATTTCCATGGGGAAAGAAGTAGTTCCCCTCCCGTTCTCTCTCTCCCTGTGGAAATAATAAGTGTTGACCACCTTTTTAGGTTATGATTCATGCATGTGTATCTGTGTTCTTTGAATTCTTTTTAAATTTTTAGGTTTCAACTGGAAAAATCGGCATAATTTTGGTGCTGGTTGCAGTGGATTGTGCTTGCGGTGATAGTTGAAGATAATGCACTCTGCGGTGAAGGGGCTAGCCAGTAGGGCGGAAATAGGGCACATCAGCGGTGGAGATGGTGGCTCTACCGCAGTAAGTCTTGTCGTAGTAAGGTTGATAAGGTTTTGTTGGATGTTTGCAGACAGTGCTTGAAAGAGAGGATGATCGGAACTACAGTCGTGACGACGATTGGTGGCTTGTCTGGTATCTGTTGATGTCTTTGGTCCCAGTGGTTTCAATTTCTTTCTTTCAACCGGTGATATCCCCTATTGAGCGGGTATTTGTTAATTAGTGTTTTTGTTAATTAATGTTTTTGCTAATTAGTGTTATAGGGGAGACACATGCGCAGGCAACACTGGGTAGAGAATTGCAAAACTAGAAGTCAAACCTTGTCCGGATCCTTCCCCTTCTTACGGATAGTAGTTCAAGTTGAATAGGGCAAGGTAATGGTCTTAGGGTTTGATGGGCAGTCAATCCCCTCGCTCGAAGGCAATCAATGCTGCCCATCACCAAGTGCCTGCGCATTTATAGTTGTTCAAACAATTGATTACAATAATCAGGGACACAGGACCTGCTTTCCAGCAGGTGTTGCTCCCCACAAATCGATGGAACCCTCCCAAGACTGCTAGTGATGTCTGCTCCTATCAGCACCTCTAGAATCATCTTGGGATGTTTTGTTAAAAAAAAAAAAAGTGCAACTATGTTCATTGGCAACAGTAGATTATATGCAAGTTTAACTGAAAAGTCAAGCACAAAACAAACACGGTGAGGTCTGACCGGGTCACGCCAATACCAATCTCGTGGATCAAAGTGGAGTTGAGCAGACGGTATGGAGACTGCAAATGGAAAAAATCCTCCGAGGTGTTGCCACCCTGTTGCAGTTCACCAACAGGCACCAGATCCTCAAGGCCAACCACCACAGTGACAAGAGACAATTTAACAAGAGCTGATCCCAAACTTGTGTCTCCATCATTAACATCCCATTGTGATAGCTAAACAAGTGCATTCGGACCTAGACGATCCAACCGCCACAGGTGACAAGGGCGATCCTGATGATCTGAGCGAAACCATATTCCTGGCAATACCTTTTCTGAGTAATACATTCCGGCCAGCTAGGAGGCACAACTTCGAGTATACACCGCAGATTACTGTCAACATTTCGAAGTTCCCGAAGGGACCCCCACAATTGTTCCAGGGGCTTCCAATTCCAAGATTGGAAGTCCCAAAGATCAACCAGGAGAACCACACCACGTGCAAACAAGGACTGGCCAAAAGCATGTGAACCCATAAAAGCAAGAGGCAAACCATTATTTTTCAATGTACAAGGATTGTCAAAAATAGGTTGAGCCAATAACCTATCAAAAGAAAAAACAGGTTGGCCAAGGGAGGGAAGAACCTTTCTTCACTCAACCAATATGGTTTTCCAAACAGACGACTGCGGTCTTTTACGACAAAAAAGGGGGTTAAAAGGGCAAGTTGCACATCTACTAGACAATCTAAACCAAAATCCTAAGCCAACAACCACGTCGCTAATTTGTGCTATGTGCCTCGGCGGGTGCGAAAAGATAACGGATTGGTCACTTAGTGACCATGCCCTGGTTTGGAGGAGACGGGAAAGAAGGCCCAATCCTGCATGGCGACGCTTCTGAATCACCTTGTCCCAGACCACCTTAGGGAGCATGGGATCTGAAGTAGTGCGTTGCTTCCACAAATATTTTGTGCTCAAAACTTGCAACTGGCCAGCAACTTGCTTGG